GCCCGAATTTCGAGAAAAGTGATCAGTTCAATCACAAACACCAATTTCCATATTGGCGCCCGAATTTCGAGAAAAGTGATCAGTTCAATCACAAACACCAATTTCCATATTGGCGCCCGAATTTCGAGAAAAGTGATCAGTTCAATCAAAAATACCAATTTCCATATTGGCGCCCAAATTTCGAGAAAAGTGATCAGTTCAATCACAAACACCAATTTCCATATTGGCGCCCGAATTTCGAGAAAAGTGATCAGTTCAATCACAAACACCAATTTCCATATTGGCGCCCGAATTTCGAGATTTGTTCACTAAGAATTCTTATTTTATTAGCAACCATAAGGTAATTAATTCTAATAGTTTGTTTGTAATTAAGCTACACAGTGGGCTATCTGTGTTCTGCCCACCATGGGCATGTTTTAGACAAGTAAGCCAAGGAGATAAATAGGCCTCAGAATCTTAACGAAGACGTGTACTTTTAAACTATTTTGTTTGTTTGTTTGTAATTAAGCACAAAGCTACACAATTGGCTATCTGTGCTCTGCCCACCACGGGTATCGAAACCCGGATTCTAGCGTTATAAGTCCGCAGACATACCGCTGTGCCACTGGGGGCAATTCTAATAGTTTCACGCATTGAATTCTATTTTAAACAAGTAAAAAAAAAACTTTCCTTACGTCATGATTGCGTACGTAAGTAGGAAAAAATACGTATAAACAAATCCTCTTTGCTAGCTTTCTACAAATAATAAGAAAAGTCAAATCCTATTTTTGTATATACACATATAAGCAGAAGATAAGCAGTCAAAGCGCATGATAAAAACTTGTTAGTTATTATTATAAAGTAATTAGATATATATTATTAACTAATTAATATTAGACTTAGATGATCGTACAGGCTGCTAACCATGACAACGAAGCCAAAGACGGTTGATCTAGCAAGCAACGGACGCCATCTTTGTCCTAATTGACTAACTCCATCAATATTGGCTAGAAAGCATATTCTTCTAACCTTATCGTTCTAAGAATACATAAAATACAACAACTGGTTTATAATCCACATGTTTTAGGTGTAACTAGAAGAATACAGCTTCGGTAGGAGCTTAGAATATAAACTGTGAACAACAAACATGTTGATACCTAGGTGTGATTTGATGAGCCACGTTTCACCATTTTTATACTCGTTACCACAGTTTACAAATATAGAGAAAATAACATGAGACATTTGATCATGTTTGGGATGTTCTGATAGTACAGGCTGCCACAGATAATGTATTGATATAAGTAATGTTTTTTTTATGCAGGGAATGAGTTTTTAATTCTTTATGAAAAGTAACTAATAACCAGAAGAACCTGAACACAGTGAATGACTACGCCATCCTTACAATGGTGAATAACTACGCCATCCTTACAATGGTGAATAACTACGCCATCCTTACAATGGTGAATAACTACGCCATCCTTACAATGGTGAATAACTACGCCATCCTTACAATGGTGAATAACTACGCCATCCTTACAATGATGCACTTCTTTATTTCTTAACAAAATGTCTCTCAACACAACAGAGCAACAAACACGTATTGTCTGTAACCGGTTTTAGGAGCATTACAGTTACTTCAACTATATTCATTGGTTAACATACTTACTGAATATCAGTGTAGTTTGGCATCATTGGGACGAACTTAAACATCGCAGTAGCCATCTTGATCCTCTGTGGACATCTGGGAACAAATTGCCAACCGTACTCTTCGACGAACATGACATCCACTAGATACTCATCCTCATCTTCACCAGTTTGGCTACCTTTTGTCGTATTAATATCATAAAGTTGTTGTGACAAAGACTCCAGAAGATCTCTATCCAATTATTGAAATACAATATCACCAGCATCTTCTGACCTTCTGGCGTCACAATAAATCTCTACTATTATTACTGCAAAAGATAGCCAAACTAATGAATGTAAGTACCGTTGCCAATTATTGGGATAATCATCTAAACTGAAAGGCTCGTTTAGATTTAATTAACGTGTATAACGAGAATACTAGTATTAATACGCTTTTAGGTCACTCAGAAATTTTAAAAAAGAAAAAAAAGTAACATTTAAAAGTATACAGAGCCGTACATATAGCTGCTTATACCTTGTTAATCCTTAGGAATTAACTGATTTTTGTAAGTTATCCTAATGGACTGTAACATCACTCTTCATCAGAATTAACAAGTTTCTATTGTGTACAAGGGATGTTATTATAATCAAGTTTCAATAATAATAATGAAAACAAATACATACGTTACAAAATGTAGTTCTTTTAATTTTATAAGATATTCAAATACTTTTTTGTCTTTGACCTCTATAACCTTTTAGACGTTGTCTAAGAAGTTAATAAACCTACAAAATGCTGTTATTGTAATCCAGATACGTAAAATATATCCTTATTAAATATACCTTTCAAATGCCACACTTAAAATCGTCTTTCGAAAGATTCGATGAAATAATAAGTGTCCTTTGTATGAAAAAAAAGCATTTCATTTCGATCAGTTACTATCTGCTTCAGCCTCATTAACTTCGGCTTAGTTTTATAATAATTACAATTCTAATTAGCTCCAGCTTATTTATTTAGGATTGAAACACACTACCATTTAATATCTTTTGTTTCGATAAAAGTATATACAGAAAGTTAACATTTAATTTATGACTCCAGTGTTTTGGATGGAACTCATTTTGTCCCCTTTGTACGTTATATGTAAGTCAATGTACCAAACTTTTCCCATCCACCATTAAGGTTCTAAAAATAGCTTTTAGAATGTTTATGATAAAATAGACAAAAATGGTAATAATGACTTACTCTAGTTGAAAACTGAAAGACTATTTTTATACATATTTGTAAAAGGCATAAAAATATATTATTTATATAAGTGTTCTTACACACGTTGTTCTTTTTCTATGAACTATTCATGTATCGTAAATTCACCTAGCGAAACTTAAAAATCCTCTACACTAAGAGAAGGTTGTTTTTCGAATTCCATAAGGTAAGCTCTGGATTTCATAGCTAGCGAGGCGGATTTAAATCCGTGAGATACAACAAAATAGTCCATATACTTTGAAGCTGGGGGATAGTAAAATGTTGCCTATTGACTGTTGTTTTTCTTCTTTCCTCAGCAGTTCAAGATCTGGAGTAGCAATAGTTAGGCTTTGTGGCTTGGTCATAATTACGAAATAAATTTGTATGTACACAATGATCTATCTGTACTCTGTCCACCATGGGTATCGAAACCCGGTTTTTAGCGTTACAAGTCCGCAGACATACCGCTGTGCCACTGGAAGGTACGAAATACATAAACAAAAGATTCAATTAAAACTCACACACATTCAAAATCAAAACCTTTTTCTATGCAACCTTCTAAGTTTAGCTGATTACATAAACCATACATAAAATTGTTTCAAAGCTGTAATTCAATGACAGAAAGAATTTTAAATATAATTACATTGGTGTTAGAAACTATTAATAAATTACGTCACATTTCAAGTTAATCTAAGTAGGTACAACTATGACAGGTTACGTTCAAATATACTCAGATTTTACTTAACTAAATACAATGTAATTATTGTTTAATGTGGAAAGAATTAGTAACATTGTACTATATGTGTTTTTTTTTCTTTCTGATCTAGTGTCATCTAGTGGGAATAAAATAAACCATATCTTTCTCCAATTTAATTTTTTGTTATCACGTAATAAATTCTCAGTCTTTCTTTTCCTTTGTTTTTGATAGAAAAATAATTATTATTTTGTTGAAATATTGTTAAAGTTATGACAGATTTGAGCGGAGGGACGTGAATATCAGCTGTGAATCATGACGTCAGTAAAACGTGCGCATGCCATGAATCACGAGAAGAATTATGCACCCTGTGGGTTTACAACACAGCATGACATATGAACATGAAAAGCAAGAAATAAAAATATTTGTTACTCTTAATAACATTATTTACCAGAAGTTAGATACAATATTTTTATTTTCGGAACACTACCCTGCCCTCTACTTAGGCTAGTTTATAGATGAACTTAACCTTTACAGTCTTAGATTAGCTGTTCCTGAGTTTTGAGAGTGTGGAATAATGACGAAAATAGAAACGTTTTTCAAGCAGCTGTGAATGTTTGTATTGCTTTTCTAAGGATAACTACACAGCTCTTAAAATATTTATATAAGTTTATGTCGTTTTACGTTACAAAATGCAGAGTTGCACCATTTTAAGTTCCAGGTATTTTAAACACGATTCTCCTCGTCATATTAGGCGTAATAAACTTTGATAACAAATAGTTTCTTTAGCAGAAGTTTAAGAAAGATTAAAACTATTCGCATTATCGCCTTGGAAGCTATCGTAGTGTCTCATCGCATTTTCTGATCTAAAATGCTGTCATACTTCCTTGGTAGTTTCGCTCTAATCTCTTCAATAAAACATTGAAGAAAGTTAAAGTTAATAACACAGGCCTGCGAATTTAAACTTCATAAAAGTTGTTGTTTTGGTTTTAATAACGAATTTTCCATAATTCAGCTACGCAGATTTCGAAAATAATATTTTTTTTTCTTTCTATCACGTAAGGGGTTTTCTACAAATCGGGAAGAAAAAACTTACTTAAGTCAAATTATTATTTCGTTTACCACAATGAACATTTTTTATTATTATTTGTTAACAAAAATACAAACAAACTGAAGAAAAGGGAAGAACATTGATATCAAACGAATATACATCCTCTTGATCCTGCTTTTTTTGTAAAGTCTACGTCTTTTAGTCTCAAACTACGTGTTGTGATATTTATTTTATGTATTGCGTTATGACGTTTTGTGAAAAATTAGTACGTTATGGAGAAAAATGGATATCATTTTCGGATTCAACGTACAGGACTTACCGTAGAACATGTAAACATTTTAAGACAGTAAAACCATCGCAGGCCTGTATTATTAACGAAAGAACATAGACATGTAATGTTTTTGTATGAACGATGTTTGGTACACATTTAGTTTTTCATATTAAACAAAATGCCATAAGTATATATGCATTTCCTTTTCCGTTTGTTTTTCCTGTGAGATCAACACTATAAAGCCAGCCAACAGAATTCTTCGTAACTGTTTGTTTGTTGAATTTGGCGCAAGCTACTCGAGGGCTGTCTGTGCTAGCCGTATTTAATTTTGAAATAATATTCTAGAAACAGGGGTGCACTACACAGTTATTGTCGGGGCCAATTTGGAATGTGATTGAGACTTGGCGGGCCATAATATTTCTTCCTCCAAAAAAATGTTTGAGCCCTTAGAGTTTTCTACTAATTCTAAATACTATTTAACAAAAGTTCTATTAAATTGAAGCGCAGAAACGCTTATTAAATTTAATAACCGACACAAATGTTTCCATCAAATTAAAAAACAACAACAAAAAAAATCAACTTTGCACACTATAATTTCGTGTCATGGGCAGTACAAAATGAGCTGGCGGACCAAATTTGGTCCGCAGGCCATATGTTATGCACTTCTGATAATTAGAAATATAATTAATCTAGAGTAGGGATTCTCAAACTTATTTCTTTGAGCACCACTTTTAAAATTTTGATCAAATTATTGTACCACTATATAGTTTCTTATCTACTTCACAAATGACTCATTTGGCGTACCAGTTGATGACAACAACCTGTTGGTACGCGTACCATAGTTTGAGAAAGCAGCTAGTCAACAGCATCCACCGCTAATTCTTGGGTTACTCTTTACCAACAAATAGTCGAATTAACCGTCACATTATAACGTCCCAGTAGCTGAAACAGCAAGCGTGTTCGGTAAAGGGTATCTATCCCGCGACCCGCAGACTGATGATAAAACCGAAGTGAAAACAATGGATAACATTGTCACTGAAAGGACGGGTTAAATAATTTATTTTGATAAGGAAGCTGAAGTGAAAACAGTGTCATTGTAAAAATGGATTAAACAGAACTTAGGTTATGAGGACAATTAATGCTTTTTACCGGGATTATTAACCTAAAGCATGTTGGATCTTTAAACAGACTAACTTTATTACTTTCTTTGCTGTTTATTCAGCGTTGTTTACTCATTACTCTGTATTTTTAGGGCCTGCCATAGCTTAGTGGTTAAAACACTCGACTTGCAATCTGAGGGTCGCCCTTTCGGCCGTGAGGTCGTTATAATGTGACGGTCAATCCTACTACTCGTTGGTGAAAATAGTAGCCAAGAATTGGCGGTGGCTGTTGTTGGCTAACTGTCTTCCCTCTACTCTATCACTGCTAAATTAGGGACGGCTAACGGAGATAGATAGCCCTCGAGTAGCTTTGCGCAAAATTCAAACCAAACCTCTGCATTTTCACGCAAAATTACCTACCCAGTACTATGAAGTTTACGTTATCCTGCAAGACTCCTTCGTGGATGCTGACTTTAGAAACATAACTTATACGGGAAACAACTTCCGTAATATTTTCGCGTGTTTACTTTCTGGTGTACGTTTTGTGTCACTCAGTATTAGTTTTGTATAACCTTGAGCTATAATTTATAATTTTTGTACTTTCATGTAATCATTATCCATTTTGATTCTCACAGCTTTGATTGTATAATATTATTATGTCTATAACTGTCGTTCAGATCCTTCCACTGTCTTTTTTGTGTATTAACAATTTCCTAGAACTGATTATAACTGTATGTACTAATAACTGTGAGTAAATAAAGAACAGGTTAAAAAAAAAAGTAAAATTTGTAGCTACGTGTAAACAAAGAGCAGGTTAAAAAAGTAAACTTGTAGCTACGTATAAACAAAAAACAGGTTAAAAAAGTAAACTTGTAAGCTATGTGTGAACAAAAAGAAGATTAAAAAAGTAAACTTGTAGCTATGTGTAAGAAAAGAGCAGGTTAAAAAGTAAACTTGTAAGCTATGTGTAAACAAACACGAAGTTAAAAAAGAGGCTTGGAATGTTCCCACTTTTAACAAATGTATACAGACAGAAATTTGTTAGCATTGAAATGTCATTTCAAGGTACACGTTCTCATTAGCCATATGACTGCTAACTAGTAAGAACAAAATGAAATGCAGTGTGCGGTAGTAAAGGCGCACAAAAATGAAAAATAAAATGCTTTGTTTGAGAAACAGGCTTCTTTCAGCACATGATATAATCTGCATATTACTCTGATCTGAGGGTTCTACAGTAGGTGTATATGCATAGCATTTTTTCATGTTGAGTTTCTTATCCTTTAAATCTAGACTTAAACCGCCACAACCGTAAATTTTGTGGCAAGCATTCATGTTTAAGTTGTACATTATAACACTTACAGCTCGTATGTATACAGTTTGATTGGTCTAGTAGTAGTACTAGTATTCTAGATGGCACTCTATCACTTAAAGAAACATACAGTCCTCCAAAGCGTTTTACTAATTTATCGTTTAGTAACTAACACAAATACCAACTCGTAATATTAAAAGTTATGAAGGGAGAAAAAATCACGTGTATATGAAATACGATGCAACAGTGTCATTTGAATGTTGACTGTATTATAGTTTATACTGAAACTGTAATTAAATCGTGCCTAATTTACACGAACACACACACATATATATAATTAAACACATACACATAATTAACCAAATTTCTATTGTAGCCATATTATTATTACTTTGTCAGCAAGTTAGTTTGTCTATCTATAACTTAGTACAAGATACATTTTTTGTTAAATACTTACATTATGCCGGGGGAAACGCAAAAATACGCTATTTTCTAACAAACAACGGTCACGATAGTAACGAAACGAGCAATTTTTTTTCGTAAGTAAGAGGCTTACTTTAGTTTATTTGAGACTATGTGTGTGGTACTGATGATATTTGATACTTGTGGGTTTTAGGAAATATCTAATCTTCTATCTTCAAGTTCAACAAAAACACCTGATTTTGGTGATAAAAGATAGTTTTAACTCATCAAAACCATCGATATTTTCTCGCGCTTCATGTGATGAAACGTTAATAAAGACACAAATGACACCACATATTAAAAAAAAAATGTCTCACTTTCAAGCCCGAGTCCTGAAAAATCGCGATTTTCCTACGTACTGCTTCAAGCGCTTGCATGTTTCGTCTATTTTACCAACAGCGAAGCTTGCGCCGAGACGTAAGGAATAACCGAGGAAGCCTGCTATCACGACGACAATTGCAAATACACACAAACACAAAAGCTTCTGTTGTATCGCGAGAATGCCCCATTCTGTCACAGATCGGCTGAAAACGTACAGTGGACGCTGACAACTAGCGCCCTTTCCTCATCTCTTCTTCTTTCCTTCCCACATCCAAGTAATGCCTAATTACTCTTAAGCCACTAGTTACTCTGCTTTATCGAGTAATGGCCGAGTCACCTTAACAGCAGGGGCGACACCTCGTGGACCCAACCACAAGCTACTAAACCTCTAATTTAAGAACGCACGCGCAATGTTATTACATTAGTCATCTCGCAGGAGAATTTAGACTTCAATGTTCACGTACATTTTCCTCTTAAAGCTATGACCGCATATATTTTAAGTATTTCAACATAATATTTCCTTTTAATTAATAATATTAACCTTTAAATGTTTTTATACAGTTATGTTTTTCTCCATATATATATATATATAATACCTAACTACTTCATATTTATTAAGTAATCACGCCACCTATTTAGACAAATGAGGAACGTGAAAAAATAATACCAGTGCATTCGGTGTAAACGGAATCAAACATAGCAAAACCTGATACACGTATAGAATAAACACTTTTAAAAAATTCGCTCAGTTACCAGCGTACACAGGGACAGTTCTGTAATCATACGGATGCGGTGATATTTAATACGTTGCATATGCTTTATCAATGAGTGAAATAACTCAGCAGGCCTAGGCGGGAATGCACAGCAATATTTTTCACTGTTTATTAAAGTTGGATAACTCTGTAGATTTTTGTAATTTTGACTAGAATTCGGGGATCCCCGTCATGGTCCCCCACACGCTAGCGCCGTCTCTGTATCTATTATCGATATCGTTGTTGTACAATGAAATATATTACAAATTTATTGAGATTTCAGAACGAGTATAGACTAGTTGAAAACATTTATCTGCCATTTTTTTGTTATCGAAATAAATATTGACATGTTTGCTAAATACGAAACCAGATGTAGTTATCAATAACTCAAGATCAAAGCAAGTTACTTACGTAGATTATAACTCAAAATTAACCATCATTTAATGTAACTAATTTAATATCCTGGTCTAATTAAGAGTCTGCATTGTCATAAAACAAAAACTTATGATCCCAATAATGTTTCATCAGGTGGTCCAGCTAGCTTGAGAGCCTAGGTTACACCTACATCCATCTACTAAGCTAATAATTGTTTATTTCTTGAATTTCCTGCAAAATAACTCGAGAGCTATCTGCACAAGCTGTTCTTAATTTAAAAGTGATAGACCAGAGAGAAAGCAGATAATCAATACCACCCACCTCAAATTCTGGGATACTTTTACTTTTTTTTACCAATGAAAAGTGGAATTGACTGTACATCATAACACCCCAGTGGCTAAAAGGATGAGTATCTTCGGTGACAGGATTCGAGCTCGCAACTCTCAAATTGCGAAACGAGCGCCTTCACCACATTAAGCTAACGAATAAAACAAATAATATATTATGCATATTTTGACATTTTAACCATTACTGTTCATAAAACTTAACATTGAAGAAAGAATGGACAAACTTGCTTACATGACGTATAAAAACTAGTTGTTTTCTTCTCGCATCATTGATTCTCTGACCCTCCATAAATCCTCCCTAACGTGGTCTAGTGATCAATGAAAGACCATTAACAACGTGGACAGTGTACCTTTAAATTAGTCTTAACATCCGAAATAAATGGCTACATATTACTGTCCAGTTATAGAGTTCGATAGCAGGAAGATATACATTTGTGATATTTGTAGATACCACTGATTCCCCCAAGTGTGATATGATAGGTCCGCTGAATGATAAGAAATTCGTCAAGATATCTAGCTAATTGCGGAGAAGTTCGATATCCTCTGATCAACTAGGTTCGTGAGAAATAATGAGAGACTGAACACAATGTACAATCAGAATAAACAGTCTTTACTAAAAATAAACACGTTAAAATATACATTTAATTGCCACAATGGGCAGTTCCCTCTACTAGGGAGTTAGATTTGAAGATGTTCTATTTCATTTCAAATTTTTAACGAGCATAACTCGGTTGATCTACTGTTCCACACTAAATAAATCTCACGTTAATTATGAAAATCGTTAACGTCAGACTCACTAAAAATTACTCATAGTCTTAAAAATAAACGTCTAAAATAACGAGATATCAGCAAAAACCTATATTCTAAAAGTTTTCTGAAGTCTACTTATTAAATGGCAACGTTTAACTCAAATCAAACGTGCTTAAAGTCTACAGAAAAAGTCTGCCAAATCCTAACATTCCCAGGGCAAGCCTGGTCTTATGTATTAAAGAGAAAAATAAAAAACTGGAGGGAACCATGTTATTGCTTGCACTTGTATTAACATTCGACAACAGTTCTTTTGACTAAATTTGAGTCAAATTGTTTGGCACTGTTAGGAATACTGTACATTATGTGTTACCTTGAGAAAGAACTAGCCCAGATAGGGTAAACTCCAACAAAGAATTGTTGGTTTTATTTTGAAGAGGATAATCCTGGATATTATGTGACCACTCTTGGAGACCGAGGGAGGTCATTGGTACATATTACTCACTACTGACTACTTCACAAAGTGAGCCGAGGCATATCCAGTTGACAATTCATTGGCACGATCCGTATTTGATGCGTTGGTTTAGCACTGGACAGCACAGTTTGGATCTTCAGAAGAGATCCGCATAGATCAGAAAGTTTATTTCAACAACCATTTATTCTGTGAATTATGTAAAGCGTGGCGAAGATCCATACTTCACCTTATCATTCCCTAGTCAGATGGTTACTTAGCAGAATGGGTAAGCAAATCTTCCAAGTTTGCCATGTTCATTATCTCAGCTGAACTTACTGGGATGAACAATTGTCATACATCATGATGGCTTACCATATAATGGAACAGATATTGACTAGATGTTTATCAAACATGCTTCCTGTGGATGTGAAGTATGGTCTTCCTCGTAGAACGGATATACTGCAACGTCCACAGTGAGGTAAGAGAAGGTAGCTAGTCAACACCACCCACCGTCAACGCTGGGCTATTCTTTTACCAACGAATAGTAAGACTGACCGTCACATTATAATGCCTTAAGGACTGAAAGGGTGACCAATCTATTATGGTTACTAGTGTGAGTACCTGTTTTCGCAGTCTCGCCCCTCCCCTTGTTTATTTCCCACTAGAACCTATTTTATATAAAACCAAGTGATAATGGACGGAATGTGGTTGGATACCAATGAACTATTGTTAGGATGATGACAACCATGGAATTCACAGCTCTATGAAGATGAAGTGGGAGATTCGTGGATGCCCAAGTGGACCAGGCTGTCTACAGGAAGTGTAGGAATATACGTTTTACAGGCAGGATACATGTGAGTATACACGTAAGTATTGTAGACATATCACTTGACTACAACAGTAGTTTTGACAATGAGCTCCTAAAAAAATTTATAGGGCAGAGAATCATTATAACCTTGTCATTACATCTTTAACCCACACTTTCGTTCAAGCTTTTCCGACCAGTCAGAGTTTGTTTGAACCTAAATTTTCAATCCTGATGTTTACTATTTAAGATCAAATTCTTAGCCCTTCTGGCTAATTTGTTTTCAACTAATCAATTGTGAGAAGTTATTCCCTCTACCAAATTAAGAAACAAGGCTGTTTTGCCGAGTTTTCTATTCTGAGACTTTCCTGTACTTTTTTATTTTCTACATGTGTGTGTGTGTGTGCACCGGTGTAGCCGGGGAGGGAGCATGCGGCCATACCGTCCCCCTCCCTTTGGATTGTATTTTTATTTTTCACCAGTTTTTCCCTACAATTCCTAATTTCGTTATGTAAATTTTCCCAGTTTTATATTCTTTAGCTTCAACTTACATCTAGCTCACTCAAAATCCTATTCACGGTTTCCAAAATCCCAACTTCAGTGTAGTCACGTTTCGCGCTAGCTGAGTGACGTCAATAACGTGACATGTTATAACACTCATTTAACTAATGTAAAGGAAATAATAAAGTTTAAATATTATAAAAATAAATGATATGCAAATATGAATGTTAAGACTTGCCCCCTTCAAATTCCTGGATATGCCAGTGCGTGTGAGCTCTTAAAAGGGTTCATTTTATATTTTCTTTCGCTTTTTTGTGTTAAAACAAAAAAGAGAGTTATTTTGAATTTTGAAGGTCATGTTTAGCTATGGTGGAACATCGGTATGTCTGCGAATTTAGAATGCTAGAAACGGGGTTTTGATACCCATGGTGGGCAGAGCACAGGTAGTCTATTATGTAACTTTATGCTTAACTACAAATAAAACTTTATTTAGCTATTTTTTAAAAACGGTTTATTCTCGTATTGCATAATGTTAGCTATACTCTCCTAAATGAGATAAGTGATCATTATTAAAACGTTTCATTTCATTGTGTTTAATTTTACCTTTAATATTTTGTGCTAGATTTGTTGATTTATTTTCCTGTCTTACTTGTTTGTTTTTAGTGAGGCAAATTGATTTATACGAGTGAGAGCAGGTTGTACCGATTTCTTGATCAATGCACGATTTAATTCTTAATCGTTAATTGGTCGGCCTGAATTTAAAAGGAGGAGAAGAAATGCGGTATGCAAAGCTATCATGCGTTTTCTACTCCTTTAGTTACTAGATACAATTTTCAAAATTTCAGCGCACATTGTGTTGGTTTTACATCAGTCAGTCACCACAGACTTATGGTTTCCCCATTAGGAAAGGTTACTGTAGAATGAAACATTGTAGATATTGACAGTGGTCATTTCTTGTGGTGAACAGGATGTTGTTTGACGTGAACACCACACACAACTAGAGAGAGAGAGAGTGAGTGTGTTTGTATATATTACTATGTTCTCCCTTATTTTTCTGTGATTTTAGCTAATTTCAGTACGTTCTTTGGTTAAGTTAGTTTGTAGATTTAGAGCCCATGCAGATTTTAAAGATGACCTATTTCGTGCTTTAGTTTTCACTGCGAGATTAAACGCTTATTTAACTTTTCCCCCTTTAGTTCACGTTTAGTTGGAAACTTAACTTCAAGCTTGGGGTGTTGGGAGAAACTTATTAAAATATCTCTCCAGTTTTTCACAACACACCAGAAACATTTCCCGTTGTTAAAGATCAACTTAGATTTGAGTGTGATAACAA